AGGATATGATTTCGTCTGGCGTATCTATTGGATAATTCCGATAAATGCAGTTCTGCTCTTCTATTTTTAATGCATATCAGAGGCGCATGTCAGGCGCCTAGACGCGCCTTTGCGGAGGATTCATCGGATGGTCAAGTTTTATAAGTTCATTGGGAGCTGCGTTATATCGAGCGATCATTAGTGAATCGCGATCAAATCCCCTCTCATTATCGATAATTGCCATTCATAAACCTGATGATGTCATTGAACAATTTATTCTAAAATTGAAACTTGAATGTCTCTCCCATTGAAAACGTCCAAATAACGTTTTAATGAAGATCTTCTTGCAGGATACAGACTAATTGCAAGATTTCATTCCAAATTTCTAGTGTCATCCTGCGATTTTTTTCTCAGACATATTTTTACCAGCATCACTTCTGTGTTTCTCATGAATGATTAAATAATAGATACAGTTTCTCACTGTATCTTAATTTTCACCAGCGAGATCAAAGTATACGATTTATACGGAGAGATATTATTTTTCTTTCTCGAATTTATTTATATGTGACTCGTGAGACGTACAAATGTCGCGTTCTGAATGTATTCGTCGGTTTGTAAGACCCCGAAATAGATGTGATCGCGATGGCTCCTTGTATGCGGGTAACGTTAGCGTGCGCCGGCATATTATCATGGCAATTAAAGAATGAATTGCGAATTGCGCTGATTTGAATATACTCGTTAGCACGAGGCACCACGACGAGGCTCGCCACGAAGAGAGACGGCGCGTTCGTGCGTGAAAACGCCAACTGACCTATGGCATTATTCGCTTACCTCTCTCATCCCCGGCGATGTGCATCGTACATCGTATACATAAGCGACGGTAACATGAGGTTTTATCTAAAGACCTACATAATTTATAATTTCATGGTAATTAATATGCGCGATGAGGCGAAAAGCCTGGCCACGAGGGTCAGGCGCGTGGTTAATGAATTATTAATTTGCGTCTTTTTTTTTTAGCAATTTTGTGTTCCTCCCGAATGTGCAAGCAATATGATAACCGTAACACGTCGCTGTGATGCTCGTCGATGGGGATCGACAGAGATAATAATTGTTTTAATTCTTGGTTGAAAGTATATGTTAGTGTACATTTTCAATCGAAAATTAGTTGCAAAAAATTAATTAAAAAGAAATATTTGAAATTTCAATGTGAAAAATTTTTAAAGGTAGCGAACGTGTTAATTTATTGTACACTCTGCAATACTAAGACATGCTTCTACATTATTTATCAGGAAATCGATAACCGATTCTTGTAAGAATATTGTTATATTGTTTTTTTCTTTCTGTATTAATTGACTGTATAATTATATGTCCGAAGAGATTCCTTTTTATCGAATTAACCCGTTGAGATTGACAAATCGATTCGATATATCAAAAGAAATAGGAATAAATAAATAATATAATATACAAAATGTAATAATTATATTGACTAATAATTATATTGACTGCTTTCAGCAGAAAAAACAGCTAATTGTTGTAAGATTCTTTAATATGATTAATTTATACAGTTATACATTGAGTGAGGAACTCAATATAAAATTAATCATATTAAAAACTCGTTAAAGCTGCTTTTTCTGCTAAACGCAGTCATCGACATTTTAGTTAAAGATCTCTCATCATGCGTACTGTCATCTCAGCTAATACTTTATCTCGTTTATTTACAGGAACAGGCTCACGATGCCAAACAACAGATCGCCACGAGTCCCGAGGATACGGAAGACATGCCTGCGGGACAACAGGGCCCGCAGGTACCACGACGGCGAGGCGGAATCTCAGCGGAGCCGGTCTCCGAAGAGGATGCCACCAGTTACGTCAAGAAGGTCGTACCTAAAGATTACAAAACCATGGCTGCCCTGAGCAAGGCCATCGCCAAGAATGTACTGTTTGCACACCTAGACGAGAACGAGCGCTCCGACATATTCGATGCGATGTTTCCCGTGACCTTTCTGCCTGGCGAGGCGATCATTCGTCAAGGTGTATATTGCTCAAATATATCGTTTTGTGCTTCCGTCTGGTTGGTTTGTCGCATTAATTCATGGAATAAATGAATGTCATATATTTTTCCAAGGCGACGAAGGTGACAATTTTTACGTGATCGATCAAGGAGAAGTCGAAATATTCGTCAATGGCGAACTGGCGACGACAATCGGCGAGGGTGGGAGCTTCGGCGAGCTCGCATTAATTTATGGAACTCCACGCGCCGCCACAGTTAGAGCAAAGACCGATGTGAAGCTCTGGGGTATTGACAGGGATTCCTACCGCAGAATTCTCATGGGCTCTACCATAAGGAAAAGGAAAATGTACGAGGAATTCTTATCCAGAGTTTCAATACTCGGTGAGTTCGCTCGAAAATGTTCATTTCCTAGAGAGGATTATTATCCTACTTCACGTAGTAAATCAATCGGAATTTCTTCTTCAGAATTCTTAGAATAATAGAATCTTCTTACTCTGTTACAGACTTAAAATAATAAAAGTAATCCTTATAAGATTTTTAAGGATGTTAGAAAATAAAATACTATAGGAAGATAACATGGAGAGGGCCATCAATAATATTTACGATGCACTTTGCAGAATCCTTGGATAAATGGGAAAGACTTACAGTGGCAGATGCTCTGGAACCAGTGGCGTTCGACGACGGTGAAACGATAGTTCGACAGGGTGAACCGGGTGAAGATTTTTATATAATTGTCGAGGGTACGGCGGTGGTCCTTCAACAACGTTCGGAAGGAGACGAACCCGCAGAGGTCGGCCGTTTAGGACCATCGGATTACTTCGGTAATATATAAAATCCGGAACAGTTAAAAACGAATTTTCGTGAAAAGTTGATTACAAAATAAAGAGGATATATACTTATTATAACAGCGAGATAATGTTTCTAATATTTCAAAAAAACAAGAATTTACGATTTTTTCTAATATTTAAAGTTTCTATTCATTCACTACTATCTTAGATTGACGTCAGAAGCGAAAAAACATAATAAAAAGAAATATTTTCGATAAAACAATATTTGCAATTAATGAAATAGACTTATAAAATATACAAAAGATTATTCTTATTTCTGGGAGAAATTAAATCATATTTATTTCTATATAATTATTAATTTAACAGTTTGTCAGCATAGCTGTCAACATAATTCATTTCATTTTGTATTATGCATTATGGATAATTTATTTTCCTTCTTCAGTTGTATGATTATTTATTAATTAATGAAACAAAAGGAAAATTTGCAATATATTTTACAAATCGATTCTATCGTGGTAATAAAACATTTTCATATTAAAATATTTTGCAAGAATTTTCATTGTATTTTCTTGCTTCTGATGTTACTCACAATCTGCAATAGTAATGGTGAGTGAACAGGCGCTTTAATCTAATTCTGCCATTCGATTAACCACTAAACCTATAAATTTTTATGTGAAATTGTGTATGCAAAAGAGAATTGAAATAACGACGTGAATTTTTTTTGTTACAGGAGAAATAGCGCTACTGCTAGACAGGCCCCGAGCGGCAACTGTAGTAGCTAGGGGTCCGTTGAAGTGTGTGAAACTAGATCGGGCACGGTTCGAGCGGGTCTTAGGTCCGTGCGCCGATATTCTGAAACGCAACATCACCCAGTATAATAGCTTCGTGTCCCTTTCCGTATAAACTCGGTCTTTCCGCATCCTCCCTCCTCTTCCTAATTCCAATCTCGTCATTGCAGGCATCGCTGCCGATCATCCCCGACTTCATTTTCCGAGGGCTACGTTATTTTGTCGTACCATAGTTAAATCTTTTTTTATTTGATTAATATTTATATATAAGTGAATTAATGTGTTACGTCAGCTATCAATCAGATGTGTACACGCCATACACACAAAAAAACACAAACGGAATCGTTAGAGAGACGCTGTTAATATATTTAAGGCTATTTACGCACTGTGTAGCTCGCGACTCGATGCCGACGCGCATGCGAATTCATATTGACGTTGATCTCTTCCGCGCAATCTGTTCCTACTAAGATTCTCGTGCACGAGAAATTATTAATCCGTTAACGTCTCTTTCGAGAAGCTAAAACTCTAATTTTAAAAATAAAATTTATAAAATAATCTAAAAAAGATCACAGATGATACCAAATGTTAACAATATGAATTAGAGAACAGATTCGTAAGATCAGGTTCCTTCTTGCTTGAAGACGCTAACGAGTTATCCGGTTAATGGCACGTTGCGTGCATTTCGCGTGCATTGTAGATATCTTTGATCGAAACTAATACGATATGTCCCGACGTAGTTTATAATCCTAAGAACTACGTAGAAAATGCAGGCGCTCATTAAGCTCATATTATTACGCGAATTCGTGATCGAACCACGTTAAATTATTCGAAAGTGATTTTAAGGCTTCTATTACATCAGAAGTGAAAAATTGTATTGCCTCCCGCTTTTGTTCGATAGAATAAATTAGTGAAGTATTTTTTATGCATTCACGATAAATAATTCTGTCTACACTTATTTTTTATTTTGAATGTAAACTTCACAACATCCAATTAAACTTGGCAGATTTTATTTTACAAATCTTCAATGAATTTTACAAGTCTATTCTATCAAAAAAAAATTAGTGACATGTAAAAAGCTGAGTTCTTTCATTACAAATATATTGTAAGTATTGTGTAAAGCATATGTAATAAGTTTTCATTTCTGATGTCTAATCCGATATAATTACAGTAACGAGCCAGGAGCCGTAAATATTATCCATCAGCGAAAGGATCGGCGTTAACGATATTTTCTCGTTTACTGTTATATATTTTAAATGTTCTATGTTGTCTCATGAATTGTTAAATTATTTAACATTTAAATTAT